TGCAAATATCTCAACAGCTGTCCATCTGAACAATGTGAAATATGTTTTGTAATATGTTAATAATGTTGTCTTTTCAAAAATGTATTCACTTTTCTTACAAATTTTGACGTCACAGGCACTTTAAGGTTTCATCTACAGCAAATTGGGGTTTTAAGACCCCACTGTGGGTCCTAAAACTCCAAACTTTGGGTCATTAAACTGACTGCTAAGAAAGTTTTTTTTTGCTATATTTGATGAAAAAGCAGTTAGATATGGATAAAAACAATTGTTTTATTAGCAATATTTGAATACTTCAACCAAAAATACTTTGATTCATGAGTTCCTGCCACAGTTTTATTTTTTTGTCACTTGTGTTTATTATGAACTTGGTCTTAAATTTAATTTCACTTGTCATTAAAAAGTCTTAAAAAGTCTTAAATTTAACTTGCCTTAAACTGTGGGAACCCTGATATAAGGCTATAAGTTCCTGCCCCACATACCAGGAAGTCTTTCATTAAGTGTTCATTCATGAAAATGACAGCAAAAAGTAAAAAAGAACTTCACGAGTAGGGCTGCCACGATTAGTCGACTAGTCACGATTATGTCAACTATTAAAACAACTATTAAAATCGTCAACGACTAATTTAAAAGTCAATGCGTAGTTCTTTTTTCTAACTTTGAATTTTTTAAATATTTTTTTTGTTGACTAATCACCAATTAGTCGACCATAAACATAATGGTTTGTGGCAGCCCTTATTAACTCTTCTGTGCATGTGTGTCAAGGACAGAAGAGTAGACGTGGCAGTGGAAGGTGCCGCATCAATTTGGAGAGAAAAACAAAGTTAGAAAAAAAGACGCATCAACTATTAAATTATCGATGTTTTTAATAGTCGACAATAACCGTGACTGGTCGACTAATCGTGGCCGCCCTACTGTGGGTCGTAAACAGTCGCAGAAATAAAACTAAATCGTATTCATCTCTCTCTAGTCCTCTGGTTTTCCTTTGGTCAAATATTTTTAATTCAAGTGTAAACACCTGTGTTAAATCATTTTCATTTATTCAGAAGAAGAGCCGCAGCCTGTACTGATGTGCCAATCACACACCGCAAACTTTATTTATTAAATAGTTGTTGCACATCAACAGAGAGTTTCATTACAGTGTAGAGGAATGTGAAATATCTGGACACCGTGCAGGTGAGGCTGTCTTAGCATGACTGTGAAATACCCCATCTGTCAGCAGATTCTCTGGTTTTAATGAACCTCAGCAAGGTGAGAACTTGCCTTGGCCCCATCAAACAATTCCTCCGACTGTCCCCTCTGTAATGGGGTTGGGGGCAATTATGGTACATAGTAAATGGACTGTACTTGTATAGCTCCTTTCTATCCAACCAGGACACTCAAAGCTCTTCACACTACAATCTGTGTCCTCATTTACCCATTCACACAGCACTCTTATTAGGTCTCTACAAAGCTAACATGTACAGTCATCTATGGAGACTAATCAGTGCCAATCACATTCATACATTGATGGGACACTTCAGCATAGAGTCCACAACGACTGGCCCAGGCTCTTTAAATCAAACATAATGATCCTCCAGCAGGTAGGGTTTGGTATTGAAAGGGTTTAATTTGATACCGGTGCTAAATTGATACTTTCAAAACGGTACCGGTTCCTAAACGGTATTTAAATCGGTACTTTAAAAATAAATAAATAAATAAATAACACACACACTACACAGAGGTTCATGAAGCAATAACTATTTCTGAGTCTAATTCAAACTTGAAATTGACCAACATTTTAACTTAAAACCATTAATAATTTGTCTTTGCACCAAATATTCTTAAATCATTTGTTTGTTGTAGGTGGAAGTTTCTGCATCTTATTTTGTAAAGTGACCCCACACTTTGGACCGTTTGGCTTTCGACATCTCGACTATAATATATAATATAAATATATAATATATAACTGTTAACTGCAGCGGCACCTGCTTAGCCCCTCTCCATGAACTCTGTTATACTCTATTCACTTTGGGTCGGGTTGGTTCTGCTCAGTGTTCGTGTGTCCCTCACTCTGTGGGTGTGATAATGTGTGGACCTTTTGCAGCAGCTTCAACTGTTGTGTTAAAAATAATAATAAAATAAAATAAAAAAAGCCATCATGGTCTTACCGTTCAGACTTCACTATTTATTTATTTATTTATTTTGTTATCACGGTGCTATTTAGCTAAGTGCTTGTGTAACCGTGGGCGGACAGTTTGTTGGAAACCTCCCGTGATCAGGTCAGCTTCGTCTCCTTCACCTCTGTCCAGGAAGTGTTTACAAGTTCTGCCTTTTTGGGTTCTGATGTAACGTTATTGTTTGTCTCCTCGCTGCAGGCTTGTGTGGTGAAAAGAGAGTTCAGAAAAGCAGAGCAGCTGATCAAACATGCTGTGTTTCTAGCAAGGTAACCTGCTGTGTCTCAAAGTAACTGCAGCTAAATACAACAGTTTTCTTGTCATCATCCATTAAGACTGTCTTTTCTTCCTTACAGAGAACATTTTGGACTCAAACATCCAAAGTACTCTGACACGCTGCTAGATTACGGCTTTTACTTATTAAATGTAGACAATATATGTCAATCAGTTGTTATTTACCAGGTAAGCTTGGTGTTTGATAAGAAATGTGTTTTCTGTGTTACTCTTCCTTTGTGGTCTGATTCAGTCTTGTTTTGTGCCTGGTGTAGAAGGCCCTGGACATCCGACAGTCTGTGTTTGGAGGGAAGAACATCCACGTTGCCACAGCTCATGAAGACTTGGCGTACTCCTCGTATGTCCACCAGTACAGCACTGGAAAGTTTGATAACGCCCTGTAAGTACAGGAAACCTCCCAGACTCAGGGTTTTAGAGATAAGTCAGTTCTTGTTGGATGGACCACATCATGACTCATCTGTTTCTGTGCTGTTTTTCTGATATAAACACTTTGACTTGTGTTGTTGAAAAACTCAGCTTTGAACGACAAAAAGTTTAACCTCTTGAGCAAAACAACTTTTTCCATTTTCTATTTCTTTTAACTTATTTTAACCTAAGATCTGTCAGTTGAACCTGGACATGTTTGGCATCAAATTAAACCGAAGACTCTTGGCTAAAAGCTCATGGAAACTGTTTTTACATTCACCAAACAGTGCAAACGTTAAGAAGCTGAATCAGAAAGTAAACAAACTGTACAAAATGCCTCTGTGCAAATCTGTAAAGGAAAAAATGTTGACATTTTTATTAAGCAAGTCAAAGCAGAAACCTAAATAAGTTGTAAAGTGGGTTGAAAGATTTTTTTACTTGGTTTTGAGTGAATATGGTCCAACTGAAGTCAAATATAATTTCTCATTATTTTATATTATCTATATATATA